GCTCAGGATGTGGCTGGCTGCTATGGCAACTAGGGGAGGAGCTGGGAGGGGCTGGGACTAGGGTGGGCCTGGGGAACTGCTGGTCAGGTTTAGACACAGGATGGGCATAAGAAGATGGTGGCTCCACCTACAGCAGGTGTGTGGGGAAAGAGACAGGGAGGTCTGACAAGGGGAGGGGGTGTCCAGCCGGTAGGTGGCAAAGCAATGGAAAATCCTGGTGCCACCCTGCTTCCCAAGGCCCCTGCCCCAGGGCATAAGCTCCAACCTGGGAGACTACAGCGGGCAGAGGGGCCATACAGACACTCAACAAATCTTTACTAAGCTCCTACTATGCGCCAGCATTTTTGAGCGATGAGAGCTCTGCCCTCACAGAACACAATCTAGGAGGCAAAAGAAAACAGCACTGGATAAGTACCTTTAGACCAGCGGTCGCCAACTGGTGGTCCGCGGACCACTGGTGGTCCGTGAGTTCCGAAAGGTTGGCGACCGCTGCTTTAGACAGTGATATGTACTGAAAAGACTGCTTCAACTGAAGTGGTCAGAAGAGGCCTGAGATTCAATGATGGTCAAAGCCAGCATGCAAAGATGGGTTGGGAGCGGTGATCCTCAGCAGAAGCCCCTACAGGTGGGAAAGGGCTCGCCAGCCTGGGCTGGAGCAGGCTTGGACAGGCTTTCAGGAGCCGATGGTGTGCACTACTCAAATCCAGACTCAGTGACGGCACAGTAATAGCTTGAAATCGGCCATGGTGAGAACATTTACACCATGGAAATGGGCAAACACTACAAATGGAGATCACTTCCTTCCCACATCTTAAATACTTAGCACAGCCCGATTGGCATATCTGAGCATCAGCAAGGAGCCCAAAGCAGGGGAGGAGGATATTGTCATAAAGCAGCAGGCTTTGCTCTGTGGCAGCAGACAGAATGTCTCTGAAGGGTTTCCAGCAGAGAGGTAAATGATTTGATTTTCACTTGGCCAAACAGATTCTACAAAACAAAGCCTCATGTAGATAGGAGGAGGGGGGATTGATTTATCAGAATTGGGGGCCAGGAAAGAGATGAATCCAGTAACTCAGGAGAACTGCCCCCCCCTCCACCCCTTACAGCAGCAGCAGCATAAGACCGGAATGAGGCCAGTGGTCAGAGTGGGTGTCTGGAGATGCCTGACCTGGGTCTGGAGGGGAAAGGGGCCTGAGCCTGCAGGTGCTGCCAAGCCTGTGAAGAGAAGGGAGCTGAAGCCTCTGTACCTGCAGTGGGATGGCCATGTCACTCTCTTTCCAAAGGGATGGCAGCAGCAAGCTCAGAGGCCTCTGCCTCTCTACAGATGGAACCCATGGTTTACCTAGCAGGTCCCTGAGTGAGATAAGTGGTTTCAAAGTGGCTATCAGTCTCCATACCAACATGGCTTCATTCTCGACACTGACAAGTTCCATGTGGCATCTGAGCCGCATTGTCACCCAGGTTGCATATGGCGACAAAAGCAGGTGCCTCTCGCCCTGGCCTGTTGGGGTCAGTGGATAGAGCGTCAGCCTGAAGACTGAAGGGTCACAGGCTCCATCCCTGGCCCCAGTCAGGGGCCACGCAGGAGGCAACCAACGGATGTGTCTCTCTGTCTCTCTCCCTCCCTTCCACTTCTCTAAAAATCAATGGGAAAATATCCTCAGGTGAGGATTAACAAAAAACAAACAAAACCAAACCAAAACAAAAAAGAAAAGCAGGTGCTTCTCCACATCGACTGCACATGCTGGGGACCCGACCGCCATGGCTCAGTGGTTGAGCATCGACCTATGAACAGGAGGTCATGGCTCAAGTCCTGGGTTGTGGGCTGGGGAACTTTCCCACCCCAGGCCCATTAAGCCAGGGGCTCTTCTGACAGTGGGACTCAGCCTCAGCATGTTACAAAGCTTTCTGGGTGATTTCAAGGTGTGGCCCAAGTTGAGAACCACTGGATCAGAAGAATTTCTGTAGAGTAAAAAGCCAAGTATTTTTCCACATCTTGCCTCGGGGGTGGATTCTATGGACAGGCAATTCCTGGCACGATGACAATGCCTGGTGCTATTCTGTTGCACGTTAAGTGAAACCCCGAAGTTCTCTACCACGTTGGACCCTGATGGCATTGAGAGGCTAACTTTTGCATGACTGGCTTAACCACTTGTCCATTTGCATTAACTGTGGGCTCAGCTGTTGCAATTCCCAAAGGATGTTCACGTGCTGAGCCTCCCCTTCAGGAGGTGCAGCCCCTTTTGTAGGTCGGAGATGATAACTAGGTTCCAGCCTGTGCTCTCTGTGCTCTAAGTCGCTGAGAGGATCCCATCAGCTGATCTCAGTAGTGTCAAGGGGGCAGGTATAACTAAGTCAAGGCCCCACTGTGTTTCTTGTTTGGGGGGCTGTCCGCGGTCCTGGGACCCGGATCTGTGACCCTGCCGGGTAGGGGGCAGTGCTTGAGGCTGTCTGCGGTCCCGGGACCCGGATCCGTGACGGGGCATCCCATGGAGCAATGAAGAGGGTGTGAAATGTTTCTCTTGTATTTTGGGGAAAAGAGCAGGGAGGACAGATGTCAAAGGAAAATGAGGTTAACTCTGGTCCGTTGTGCTCTGCGCAAAGAATAAAGCATGTAGCGTGGTGAAACAAAGCCATGCTGTCCTGCCCCTCACACCCTGGCAGAGAGGAGTTGTCGAAAGGACACAGGCTGCCTGGCCGGTGTGGTTGAATGTCGAGGTCACAGTTCGATTCCCAGTCAGGGCACATGCCTGGGCTGTAGACTTGATCCCCAGTGTGGGTCTGCAGGAGGCAGCCTATCAATGATTCTCTCATCTTTGATGTTTCTGTCTCTCTCCTCCCTTCCTCTCTGAAGGGAATAAAAAATATATTTTTTAAAGGAAGAATACAGGCTTTTGAAAAAAAGGTGTTTATTCACTCAACACATATTCTCTGGCCCTTGCTCAGTGCCACTCGACTGGAGGACTGTTCTGGAATTTGCCACTTGGGCCTCTTGAGCTGACCTCACAGTAGAGGAGAGAGCCAGTAAATGGCCACTTGTGCTGTGCAGTGAGGGTCCAGTGCGGGTCAGAGCGGTCCAAGGGAGGGAGGCCCCCCAGGGGGGATGGAGGAGAGGCCTTTCTGAGGTGACGCCTGTCTGAGACCTGAGAAGCAGCCTTGGGAGAGCTGGCAGAGGGCACTCCAGGGAGAAGGGTTGGCAAAGCCAAGCCCTGAGCTGGAAAGAACCGGGTGCTGCTGAAGAAAGGCTGGAAGCCCCTCCTGAGGACAGGGAGGTGAGCCGGGAGGTGGCCAGAGGAGTGGCAAGTCAGGCAAAGGACAAGGTGACTTGTATTGAGCCCACTAACGGCCTGTTGGAGACCTGAAAGCCGGTGCTGACATGCTCCGATCTACCTTCACCGACTTGCCGTGACTTGGGCAATTAACTTCTCTGATTTCCACTCTCAACTGTGAAGAAGATAAAGCACGAGGTGATTTTAAGGATTAGAACTCTTGTCTATGGAGTTAACAGAGGAACTGACACATAGTAAATGCTCAATAAAATGGCAGCTACTGTTCTCCTCCTCCTCCTCCTGCTCCCTCCATCTCATGTGCACAAATTGGATGGGTGTATATCACAGCAGCCGCTCCTCGCTCCAGGGGACTCGAACATGGGTTATATGTGAAGAGTATGAGTCTTGACAGTTGTATATTTAAGAATCTAAATCCCCTCTCATTAAACTCCACCGCTGCTGGGCTGACACCAGCCAGTGTAAACACAGGGGTGAGCCATGTGCAGTGGGCGCTGTTGCTTGTGTCCCAGAGTGCTCTTGCCTCTTTGAAGGCTTTCCTGGGTGACTGAGGCCCCAGCCAAGCTCTGCTTCTAGCTCCGAAGGCTTCTGCACAGATCTTAGGTGCAAAATATAGCTGTTCATTTTAAAACCTCACAACCTTTGTCATTCATCCATCTATTCAGCATTTGCAGAGTGCCCACCGTGAGCTCAAAACTATGCTAGAAACTAAAGGAAAGTAAGGGGAAACGTCCTCAAGAAGGTTGTAACCGGTGGTGGAGGTAGGCGGAAGGCAGCTGTCACCACTCCTGTGACAGAGGGATTACAGAGCCCAGAGCAGAGACTTAAGACAGCCTTTCGGAGGCTGTAAAATCTCTCTCAGAGGGGAACCTTAAGGCTCAGTCTTGAAGGAAGGGGAGGAGTTTTCCAGATGGGGAAAGAGGGAGGAGAATAAAAGGTACACACATAGTACAAATGCCAGCAGCCTGGGGAAGAATGAATGTGGAAGTACAATCATTCCACACAGAAAGGGAAAAAGTTGTGTGTCAGGATTCTTCTCATTGCCATTGACAGACAACCCAGTGACCTCAACAACAACAAAAGGCAGGACGGGGGAGAATGCTGGCTTCACGTCCAGCTGGATTCAGGGCTCAAATACCATAGGACTTGGTGGCCCTCCTTTACATGGTTCTCTTCTGTTGGGTCAACTCATAGTTCAGCTTGGACCAGACGGTGGGGCCATTCTAGCCCACAGCCCAAGGCTGCAGTCTAGTGGGAAAATGAAAGTGCCTTCTCCTGACCACTGAGCCCGTCACTGTGGCCTGATCACGGAGCACCCTGCTTGGCTTAGGGCTGGTCCACCTGGGCAGCGTGGCTAGGGAGGAAACCAGCACCAATGGAGGGCCTGCCATGTGCCAGGCTGTCTGTCATGTTGACGTAATTTAGCACCTGCAGCCCTCACCACCCCTCTGCAGAGGAAGAGGCTGGTATTACTCTTTTATGGTGAAGAAGGGAAGCTTTCAGGATGGGTACTTTGCCTGAGACCTCACAGGATCTGGACTGCATTCTGTGGGGCTCCCATCAGCATTCTAAGAGCAATCCCCTCTCACTTACTGATGCATTTAGTCTGCCATCTGGTCTTTGACTTGTGATGTCATGAAAAGTCTGGACTGCTTGAGCTGCAGCCTCACAATCTACCGCCTTCCTGACCCAGCTCCCCTCTCTTCCCTGCAGGGGCCTCGTCTTTGTGTCCCATGGAGCCGGGGAGCACTGTGGCCGCTATGATGAACTCGCTCAGATGCTGGTGGGGCTGCAACTGCTGGTGTTCGCCCATGACCATGGTGAGTACCCCCAGGGCCACAGGGCACAGGGCCTGCGATTCTGGCCAGTGCCTGACAGTTTGGGGTGTAGAAAGGTCTAGTCCATCTTATCTCCATCCTTCTTCCCCCCCAACTATTCTCTTCTGATTCTCACAGTGAAACTTGGAAAATACATCCTCCATGGGATGTTTCTAAGTTTAAAAAAAATGTGTGGTATCTAAACAAAAAGCATGTCTGACCAGCAGTTCCTGTTGAGTTTGAAATTGAATGCACGCTACTTAGGAAACTCCACTGAAAAACCGAAGTGGAAATATGTTTATATAAGAACTTGCCCCAGGCCAAGCAATCCTCTTACATTTATAGAGCGCTTTCTGTACAAAATGAGCCCTGGTTGTCTCCCAGGGGACTTCAAATGGATGTGGTGCATCAGTTTCAGTACAGTTTAAACTCTGTTTTAACCACAAGAGCTTTACAAAGCATTTCAAACCAGGAGAATAGTAGGTCTCGGAAGACCATATCGGTCACAAGAAAACCCCAAACACACACACACATACACTTATATGCACACATACACACATGTCTCCAGGCTGAGTCTTTGCTGCTTTGTCATAACAGAATCCACGATAACCGTCAAAATGTATTGTTCATTGACTAAGTCAGTATGTAGTCCCTTAATTATCTCTGTGACATTCTCCATGGCTGGGAAGGCTCCCAATATGGACCTTTCTTTGCCTCACAGCCTTTAAAATGAACATTGTCATCCTGCACTCCTGTGCGTTGTCAGCAGCATGCTGCTGGACCCTTCACCCCAGACAGCAAAGTGGCTCAGACACAAGCATACCTGGGCCCAAGTCCCCACTGCACTGCGATTCCAAGCTGTGCTATCTTGGAGACCTTGTGTAACCACTGCAAGCCTTTAATTTCTCACCCACCGAAATGGGCAAGATAGGGCTATTCCACAGAAAGGGCTGTGGTGAGATAATGCATGTAGAGGGCCCAGCAGAGTGGGGTGCCTTCTTCCCCTTTACTCTGTTCTCTCTGAGATCCCCTCTAGCCACAATGCAGACCAGCTGGTGTTCTGTGTATCCAAATGGGAGACGCCAAGGCTCTTAGCAGGGCCAGCTAAGCTGAGGCTGGGAGTCAGGGGTGCGGCCCAGAGCCAGGTCATCTGTCAGGCCTGCAGAGGCTGCTGTGAACTAGAATGAGGCGATAGATACGGCTGCTAACAATGGTTTTGCTGCTGGTTTCTGTAACACAATTTGTAGAAAAGCAGGTTTCTATAAATCTGATGCTAACTGGATTTTAAGTTAAATCTTGTTTAATTAATTTACAGTTTGATTTTATTGTTTAGACAGGAATCTCGAGACACTGTGTCAGTCTGCCTGTGTTTCTCAGCGTGCCTGGCCGATTGGCACAGATTAGTACTCAGTATCTCATTTAACTGTGCTTTCCACTTTCACCTTAGAATTTTACAGGTTGACCTCATGGGCACAAACAGCTTGCTAGAAACGAGAATTACGATTCCTGACATTTATTGAGTGCCAACTGCACACCAGGCTCTGTTCTAAGCATTTTCGCACATTATCTCTGATCTCCCATAACAATGGATATTACAGCCTCATTTTGGAGGTGAGGATTCTGAGGCTGTGTAGCCAGGGGAGCCCATTGTCATTGCACCGAGGCACACACACCAGTCCTGGCAGTTTGATTTTATGCAACAGAAACCTGATGGTAGCAACTTAGCAAATAAGTCTCATGCTACTCGAAGTCTGAGGGAGACGCGAGGCTGCCTCGATGCCGTCCGTGCCCAAGGTGTTCTCAGCTTGTGGCTTTCACGCCCAGGGATGCCATCTCCTCCTCGTGTTCTAAGTGGGAGGGAGACACAGAAGCAACACAGAGGAAGGGGCTGGGCTCATATGAGGAAAGCAAACCTTTCTTGCAGCTCCCTGGCATATTCCAGCTACGTTTCATTTGCCAGCACTGCACAGCATGGCTACCCCCAACCCGCAAGGGAGGCAGAGAAATCTAATTTGTTAACTGTGTTATGTGCAGATCCACACAAAACAAGGATTCTGTAAGAAAGAAGTAGAAAATGCACGTTGCTAGTAGCCATCTTGTCCTCTGCCACACACACTCCAAGTTTATTATGTAAGAGAGCATTTCTCAACCATTTCTACTTTAAATGTTTTCTAGGTGTAACAGCTAACCCACAGAATCATGTTTCTATCTTATCCATCCCCATGTTCTTTCACAATGTTTTGATGTGAAGGTTATAATTAGCATCCTCAGTAAGGAGTGGCGAGAGTTCCTAATTAGCCCTGGGTTCGGTGTTATGCAAAGAGAAATGCAAGGACTCAGTAACTCGTATCCTCATGGTCCAGTGACCAGTCTTCACCAGAAAAATCAAGCAGCCTCTATGAAGTGCTGAGCTTTGTTAGAGTATTTATTACCCCGAGTGGTAACTATTCCTTTATGGTGGAGGCAGCAAGCTCCTAGCAGACAAAGACTGTCTTATTGTGTCAGTGTCAGCTTCTCTCTCTGCCCCCACAATCTTCTCATCTGCTGTGTGGGGCCCAGGACTGAGCAGAGAGTCGAGGCATCACCATTGGTTGTTGAATGAATGAAGGAGTTCATGATCCAAAATGGATCAGACCAGAAATGTCTCAAATATCAGCAGTAAAGTAAGTGTCCACATTCGCAGGGCATGATTGGGTCTCATCCTTGTGGAGAGGATCCTGCAGGGTGGCCACCGGAACTCGGAGTCTGGTGGCCAAGGTTGGGGCAGGGGTAGCAGTCAGGTGGAGCTAGACAGCGATGTGGATGGAGGCTGGAGCAGAGGTGGGGTGCCGCACCTCAGAGATACAGGGCTTTCCCAATGCCTGGAGGGCTGGCAAGGTGTTGGGTGCATAGGAGCTTGCTAGAAGAAGAAAGGGTGGGTGTGGACAGGGCCACCGGTCATTGAGAGCTGTGGTTCTCACATTGGCTGCGCATTGAAAAACACTGATGCCTGGGTCCCCTCCCTCCACAGAGATGGATTTCTTGGTTTTTGTGTGTGGCCGGAACATCGAGGCTTTTGAAATCACCCAAGGCTGAGAACCACGATTGTAGTCCGAAGAGACCCTAGAATAAAAAGCTGGATATACCAGGGTCACATGCTGGTGCCCTATTCAGGTAAAAATCCCCGCAGGAGGCTTAGGCAGCCCCTGAGGTTTAGGAGCAGAAACCGAGGGGGAGCCCCTGCTGGCGAAGCTCGGGGCCCGGTAACCAGTGCCTTCGCACACTTTGAGCTAGCGGAATCATTTAGCGGCAGAAAGAGGGTTGCTGCTGGACCCCCCGTGGGCCGCTAGGGGTCATATCGTACCCTCGGGAGGATGAGGCACAGGGCAGGGCCCCGCGAGGAAGAGGCATGAAACAGAAGTGGGGTTGCTGCGGCGACATCTGAACAGGTGGAAACCACAGAGCTGGGATTTTCTGTGTTGCTCTAAATATAACACTGGGTGGTGGCTCTCTCAGCACCCAGTCCTCAGTCACCACTGCTCTTGGTGACTCACTGGAAACCCCTCAGCCTTCCCTGGCAAGCAGATTCGGCAGTGCGACCCCGAGAGAGGGGCGAAGGAGGCCCATGTGGGTGAAGGGGCGGTGGGCGCAGGCCCCCGGTGACAAGGCTGCTGGCCAGGTCGCCCTCCCGGGGAGCAGCCCCTAACTGTGCAGTGGCCCACTTAAAGTGACTTTTGCTGGGACTGGGGATGGTCTGTCTATATTTACAAAGTATAAAAGAGTAATTGTCAACTGATTAACAGTGAATTAATTATTTGCAAATATTTGAGGGAAAGTGTTAAAGGAAGTTTATTTTGGTTTTTGGTCGTTTTTTGATGGCTCAGGCGCATTTTATTGGTTTTCTTTCAGAGATTTTTTTAAAACTCTGCTGGGGTGTGTGAGAAGAGGAATTTCTGAGCGAATGTTTGTGGGTGGCAGGTATGCCTGAGTAACCTGGGAGGGGGCCTACCCTGGCCAAAAAAGGGTATTCAGGGCATTCTAGGGAGAAAGAGGATGTATGTGTTTCCCATGCAGGGGGACAGGTTTGAGTCAAGGTGCTTGCTGGGTCTATTCTGAAATAGATTGCCACTAGTTACAGTAATAGATTCTTTTGTTTGAAATGTTTGAAAATGATGTTAACAATTTTTCTTGTCTTAGTAAATATGAGAATGAAAATCATGGAGTGAGTAGCCCTTTGATGCTTCAGAAGGCCCAAGCCCAGGACGGTGGTAGGGGGGTGGGGGTGGGGGGTGGAGGCGGGTGAGCTCTCTGCAGGTGCCTCGGGCGTCAGGCCTGGGGTGTGCCTGGATCCCTTTGCGGTCTCTGTGGTTTCCTTCCTCGCCTCCCCATGCCTGCTTTATTCATGGTTAGGCACACCCAAACCTTCTATCTTGGATATGACCCTCTAACATGAGTTTATTTGGTCACTTGCTTCTTTTTTGAATAAAGCAGAATCTTCCATGAGCTGTAGTTTGATCATCTGTAAAATAAGGATAAAAATAACAACAACAACAATAATAAAATTACATTGTGGTTGTGGGATAAAATAGGAGAAAGAGGGGTTCTCATGGTTCCTGGAAGACTTTGGAAACCCACATGGCTGGGCTTCACCCCAGACTGTCGGATACTATTGGGCAAATTCGAAGGAGGAGGCCGGGATCACCACAGACATTTCCTGGGTAGAATCTACATGAGGTGTAGTGCAGATGTAGTCCAAACTGGAAATGTACGATTTGCAATAAGCAGACGCAGCATTTCATATAGCAGGTACTACATGAGAACCTACCGTGTGTAGGGTTTGTACTGGGTGTGGAAATATGGAAATGATGCAGACCCAGGCACTGCCTCCAAGAACCCAGTACAACGAAGGAGACGGACAAGCTTTAAAAGTACCGTGAGCGGAGGAGCTCATGACAGGGCCCCAGTGGGAGTGTGCAGGGCTCACCTTGGGGAGTGAGTCTCCCTTGGGGAGTGATCATCCAGAA